AATCTAACTTCTCTATAAGATTATCATTGAAAAGAGTAGCGCTCTTGCTCATACTCTCTGCGACCAGATACTGCAATCCCCTTGTGATATAGAAGTAATCCAACATCGCAACCTGAGCCATTTTCCGATTCTCAATTTGGGTTTTAACACTCAGTTTCTCGCCGGCACGAACGGTGGCAAAACTCCTAGAATTTATGGTAAAACGAAGATGAAACCCAGTTCCTAAAATTTGGGATTTGAAGGGTTTAATCTGAGTTTCTTGTGATACCCATTTGAGAAGAGAGATAAATCTAGGGTTTCGCATAAGAGAGACAAACGGAAGTGACATGAGAGAGATTCTTCAGTGTTTTTACACTTTAAAATTGGTCTCATCTCTTTTGTTTCTTTCTTCACCTTTGTTGCAGCTCTGTATACAGAAATTTGATAAATAAAAAATCTTCAAATTTTGTTCAAAATAAAGAAAAAAATCTTCAAATACTAGTCAAACAAGTATTATCCGATTTCATTACATCACATCTGTAAACATCAGCGAAAATATTTTGATCTGATGAATTAACAATCATCTTAGCTTTGTCAGTGTTAAGTGTAAAGTTGATGTTGTTTGATATAATTTACAACTCCATCTTCAGTCAAGTACTTAATTGATAATCCTCGCGAAATGCATTCCCTAATAGAAGCAGAGGAATGAGCAAGAGAAGCCATTTTTGGAGTGTAAATGAAATGCTCTTCCTCACACTACCTTAATCTAGTCGAACTGATCTGATTAGGAACAAAATTGTCGACGACTCTGATGTTATCCTACAAAAGAAACCGTATTAGACTGACTTGACTTGATTTGATAGAGCGGAATCAAAACAAAGAAACTCGGTAAGAGTTACACTGGCTTCCTTTAAGATTTTGTCACCAGAGATGATATTTTCAACATCTTGTCCTTCTCTACGGATGCACACGATGCCATAGTCTTTGCAAGTAGTCTTTACCTTCAAAACCCCCAATATTGAAAGAAGAGCATAATTGTGAGTACAATCTATAAAACAAATACAACAATGCTGCCTTGGTTATTATACTACTGCCATGGTTTACCTCTTCAGGGATCCAAACACCGGGAGTGCACAAAGTTTGCAGTAAATCCGAGCCACATAACAGCATGACTTTGAGAGATTCTTGCATTAGGAAACACATGCTATATAAGTTGGAGTTTGTCAAATATAGAAGTAATTACTAGCAGATATGATGAAACAAAGCAATCCCATTGAGACATCCGGCGATTACCCAAAAATGTATAAATAAGCTATGAGTAGAGAGATGCTTAAGGCTGGACAGTTTTTTTTTTTGCGGTTATCTTACCCTCGGGTACAAGATGAGTTTTTGTAAAGAAAGTCTTGACCCTTGATAAAACCATCAAAATTCGTTGGTAACTGTTTTGAGATGCCTGTAGAAACAGCTTTCACAGTTTTGTGAGGAAACAAGGCCTTTGTTCCTCTAAGGACAACTTAATTATTAAAAACTAATATATCATCAAATCCGGTTGAACCTGGTCGAACCACATTAACCACCATCCAAAAATGATTCTCCAGTTTGGTTGCCGGTCTGGTTTTGAAAACATTGTTAAAAAAACTTTTCGAGAGAATGAGAAAGTACCTCCCATGGGTCAACCATTATGAAGTCAGAGCTTCTGCAGGCTAGATTACACATCTCTAAACGATGCTCTGCAGATATAAGGCCCTAAACAGAATCAGATGATTCTATTATTTCTAAAGGAAATTAAACATTCTCATTGGTTTAGAAAAAACGAGAGTCATTATTGAAAGAAAATATAAGATTCTCAAAATTATACCTTCTTCTTGTATGCATCATTTACAGGAGACATATAGCCTCCAAGAACATGAAACCCCTCTGAGTGTAATGCATCTCTGGCCAGCTCTATACACAACAAAAGAGAACTCATCAGCTCAATGTTTCGACAAGCATCAAAACTTGGTTTAACATGAATGATCCAGAAACCTTTCAAGTTCTGCTCTTCTTTCCTTGTCACATTCAGATACTTTAGGATTGTAAGCAACAAGACATAAATCTAAGCTACTTTGGTCGAATCTAAAACGCAATTGATAAGAGAATAGTGAAACCTATAACTAAACTAGTAAAAAGTAAAAAACTCACCAAACATGCGTAAATGCATGGAAGTTGGAGGATTGAAACTCCCCGTTGCCACAAGCACTACATAAGTTTTGTCCCTGTAACAGAGACAAGCGATAAAACAAGGTCAATACCTAGAAATCTTTAGTGAATCTAATCACCATAAGTAACCAAGTAGGCCAGATTTATAAAATCGAGAAAATTATAGGGAACAAGAAAGAATTAAAAACAAGAATAAGCTTTGAATTTTACTTAGGTTTCGATACAGTAGATAATTTCTCAACTGGTAAGGAGACATCCATTGGAATTAATGATCCAGTCTGAGTCTGTAATGGATTTATTGCTGAGAGAAGTCAAACAAACAATGCTGAGATATCCTCTTTAGCTAAACCATGTGCAATGAAACTATTGAATAATTTATTTCAACTTACACAACGAGGCTGTTTAATAATTTGGAAAAAGCAAATGTTGATTAAATATTGCTGAATCTTTTTAACATGTTGAATTAAAAAAAAAAAGTAGGCACTACGTGAAACGGACAGCACTTATTCAAACGACAGATTTATTTGGAGTAATACACATGTTTAATTTTCATTAAGTAATCATATGCGTATGCAAAAAAATAACGTATGTAAATTAATCTGATATATATTTTTTTTTTTGGTAAACAACACATGATGTCAAATAAATACTTATATATCCAAGTTGTTTTAACATTTTTGTAAAATAGGGGTAAATTCAGTAGTAACTTTCCTTGAAAAATTAAAGTGTATGTTAATCTTTGTTAACCATAAACCAGAAGATATTGGCGCACGCATGTTTGCTTTTATGTTTTTAATCACCTATATGAAGAGAAAAAACGAAATGACATGAGAGTGTTTATTTCTGTTTTTATGTTTATTTC